CCTCGCCGACTCACCCAATCCCCCCTCGCCGACTCACCCAATCCCCCCTCACCGACTCACCCAACACTCGCTGCCTCAAGTCCTCTCCCTGCTGGTCCTGGCTCAGCTTGGTGTGTGTCTGCCGCACCGAGTTCAGAACCTCCATCAGCTGGGGACACATCGATTAAACGCTGAACTGTGTGCTTTTATCAGGTGAAATAATTTAATCCATCAAAAACAAACATCAAGAAGGACATGTAACTTTTTCTTTAGCTTTAGTAAGTGTTTTACGGCACTTGTAACACAATAATCTTATATAAGTGCTGAGGATTAGAGGTGTAACAAATGAGTAATAAACACAAAAAAGAAGGAGAGATCAGGACGATAGATGTATGATAGGGAAGAAGGAGGAAACCACACCAGAGCACCTGCCACCCACCCGCACAAAATATTCACCCCCAGGAAGAAAACAAAAAACAAAAAATACTACTACTCACTGTCGCAAACTTTTGCAGTAAAGTGTGCACGCGCCTGAAGGCTGCCCCGAGCTGCGAGGATTCGGGCGGCGGCTTCACGCACCACACCCTGATGTTTGTCTCGTAACAGTGGCTGAACACCCCCACCAGCTGCCGCAGCTCGCAGATCACCGTCGACAACATCTGCGCCATGGTCAGAACTTCTGACGGGCTGTCCAGGTTTTGGACTTGAACCTTTGCAAAAGAGAAATGAGAAACAGGTAAATTTTTGTACCTCAAACATCAGAGCTTGTTGAACCTTAGCAGAAAGAGAAATAAGCAACAGGTACATTTCTGTACTTTACTCTCCTCACTTAAAAAGTTTCTAGTTTCTCAGAATTAAATTGTAAATTATATTTGTCATGTGGATTTGAACCTTTGCAGAAAGAGAAATAAGTAAAAGGTAAATTTCTGTACTTTACTCTCCTTACTCATAAGTTTCTCAGAATGAAATGAAATTATAAATTATTATCGTCATGTTTAGTTTTAGTAAGTTTTACGGCACTTGCAACACAATAAGGTCATATAAACGCCCAAGATAAGAGGTGTTACAAGAGAGTAACAAACACAAAAAAGGAGGAAGAGAGAGAAGGACGATAGTTTTTAATAGGAAAGAAGAAGCAAACCACACCAGAGCACCCGCAAACCACCCACTTATTGTCATGAAATTCTCACTTCGATACAGGGTGACAACCAAATTGAAATCCACATGTTACTGGGTACACAATGGGGCAGCCATATCATGTTACAATTTGCCTAAACACAATCATCATGATGAGTAAATCTTCCATTTTCCTCCGACACACCTACAGTGTTGTGTAAATATTCTGTTGTGCTGTGACACACTCACCGTGCTGTGTAAGTTTTGCTACATGACACACTCACCCTGTTGTGTAAGTTTTGCTACATGACACAGTCACCGTGTAGTGTAAGTTTTGCTATATGACACACTCACCATGATGTGTTAGTTTTGCTGTGACACACTCACCGTGTTGTGTAAGTTTTGCTACATGACACACGCACCGTGTTGTGTAAGTTTTGCTGTGACACTAGACCTGCATGTGAGCCTCAACCAGATTGTCTGAAAATTTTGCGCAACCCCCCCCTCCCCCCCAAAAAAAGCCTTTGTGGGTGTCATAAGGAAGGACATCCGAGTAACGAGCGACCACCCCAACAAACACAATAAAGAAGAGACCTAACTCTAACCCTATCCCCAAAAAGAACCTGCAACGGGCCTCATGTAAAAAGGCCAAAACAAGTCCTAAATGAAAAAAAAAATGTTTAGATCTAGTTAAAAAACCACACTCCAAAACAAACAAGGAGCATAGATCTAGATTCTAGATTTATATGGCTTACATCTAAATATACATTGCTATAGGGTTTGATACAATAACACAATAGAATTGGAATATGAATCCTCCATCTATCTAGATCTAGTAATCTAAATAAATCTTGTAGAACAAGTGAATAGGAATAGGCCTTGAACTAGAAATCCGCATCCGATTCCGAACAGAGGGACTCAGCTGAGTCTAGATTATAGATCTCTAGATCTAGATCTAAATAAATAAATAATTCACGCACCTGATGAAATGCTTATTTTTACCAATATTAATATTACAGCACAACCTATGATAGGGTTTGACACAATAGAATTGGAATCTGAATCCTCCATTGAGGTCTATAATGATCTAGATCTATATAAATCTAGATTCTAGATCTATATTCTATTAGAACAAGAGAGTCGGACTTGAGTGAATCCACACGATCTGAACGAAATTCAAAATGGCCGCTCGAGCACGAAACTGAAAGTAGATAATTTAAGTTGTCGTCCTTTTTCGTATTCGCATTTCTACTTAGGTTCCGACAATTATGTCGGAAACGCCGACGTCGGCAGTCGGCGGTGCGCGCGCCGGCGGTCGGCACGAAAACGAAAGTGCCGACGAAGCCAATGGGAGAAAAAGGGGGTCGCTGGCAGTCGGCCAGGCCTCGCACTACGCACATTGACTGATACAGGCGGGCCTAGCGATAGCATCGGCCGGTTCGCGGGTCGGGTCGCGATTGTCGGATTTCAGACGATTGTCGGCAAACATGCAGATCTATGACACACTCACCGTGTTGTGTAAGTTTTGCTGTGACACACTCACCGTGTTGTGTAAGTTTTGCTACATGACACACTCACCGTGTTGTGTAAGTTTTGCTACATGACACACTCACCGTGTTGTGTAAGTTTTGCTACATGACACACTCACCGTGTAGTGTAAGTTTTGCTACATGACACACTCACTGTGTAGTGTAAGTTTGGCTACATGACACACTCACCGTGATGTGTAAGTTTTGCTACATGACACACTCACCGAGCTGTGTAGCTCCTCCAGCGTCTTGTTGTGTGCGTCCAGTTCCCGTGTGAGCGACTCCGACTGCTCCATCAGGTCACGCACGTCGGGGACGCTCGACGAGCTGGAGAGAGAGACAAGACGTCAGATCCTCAGCTCCTAACTCATTCTACCGTGACCCCATTAACCCTCCCAGCCCCAGCCAAAACAGCAGTATTTCAGAAAAAGAGGCATGCGTTCTAAAAAGTGATGTAGCAACTGTGTAATGAGGTATAAATAATAACAAATAACACTGTTTAAAGGTAAACGAACAAACATTAGAAAATTTAAAGCTTAAATAGGTTCACTACTTTAGAAAAAAAGTGCAAATTTGGTAAGTCCCCCCCCCCCCCAAAAAAAAACCCCCTGAGAATTACATGCTCATGGGATGGTGGGAGGTACAAGTGCAGCTGAAAATATACCCGCAAGGGTTTATACTGGACCATCTGTCCCTCATGTTGATGGTTGACTCTGACTGTACACTTCAATCAGCACCTGTCCTTGACATTGATTGTTGGGACCGATCGGCTGATCCAACAAGTCACAAACAGCTTCAAACATTTCTTTCATTGTGCAAACCACACCAGAGCACCCGCAAACCACCCACTAGAGTCCATGACTGTATCGTTATGACCGCCCGACGCTGTCAGTACTGACCTGTGCCCAGCCTGGGCTCGCTTCAGCGAGAGCCGCTGCACCTCGGGCCTCAGGTCTTTAGGGAGGAGGTCCAGCTCCCAGGCGGTCGGGGAGAACAGGCTTTGCTGACCAGCCAGGGCATCCAGGTAGCGGTAGTCGTTCAAGGCCCTGGAACTACGCAAACAGTAGCTCATATAATGAGGTTGTACTTGACACATTTCATTACACCCTAAGGGTCCGGACGGGAAGTCTACCCCTAGATCCTAAGCAAAGGGGAGGAATCGTCCTCCCGTGAATACAAGCGTTAAAAACACATTTAAAAAATACTAAACAAATTCCAAAAATCCCCAAAAAATTTAATTTAGAAAGAGAAAGGATTGTAGTTTCAGAAAAAAATAACTACGTACGTGCAAATTATTGGAAATGTTCTAACTTTAGCTCAATTGGGGTGTCCGACCCATCACTCTCACTCTCAGCCTTGGGGTCGAACCCTAGATCTAAATTCTACATCTGATCAATCTGAATCGCCAAAAACTCTTGCTACGTTTTCATCAATATCTGATTTGTCATGTGCTTGTTTTTGCTAAAAACCCATCATTATTTCCTTTTTCAAACTCAGTTGTGATGCTTTTCAACAAGTTGAGACACCTTCGAAGTGTTGGGTGTTGGAAACGCGCTTGCACTTCGATTGGCTCTAACACTAAAACTATTGGCCTGAAAAATTTTGTTTCTGTATCAAACGGAGGAAAAAACATTTTGCAATAAATATGTAAATCAAAATCTCTGCCTCAGAGTCTTGTCAGGGCCAGACTTCGTTTCTAAAGACCCTAGGTCAGCATGGGCGGTTCCGAGCGAGTTTGGAGCGCGTAAGGAAATTCGCGGGCGATCCCGGACGAGTTAGGGTGTAATGTGATAAGTAAGATCACTAACATGGCTCCAGAAAAAAGGATATGAGAAAAAAAAAAACCCTAAACCCCAAAAGTACTCTGTCTTGTCCTCACCTCCCAGGAACACTGTTGAGTTCGTCTCGCACACTCAAACAAACAATGTTCAACAGTTGGTCGTAGAAAGCCGCTTGTTTCTGAAGGGGGGCATCACCCTGTGAGAGAAAGAGAAACAGACGAGTTTTTTAGTTTTAGTAAGAGTTTTACTGCACTTGTAACACAATAAGGTCATATAAGTGCCGAAGAATAGATGCGTCACAAGAGAGTAACATACATAAAAAAAGGAAGAGAAGAGATAAGGACGATAGATGCTTTATAGGAAAAGAAAGAGCAAACCGCATCAGAGCACCCGCCAACCACCCCCACCCACAAGAGGAGAGATGTGAACATGGCACAACAATTGAAAATCCAGATCTACATTTGTTTTCTCTCGCAGTACTAATGCTTTACACCCCTATCATCACCACCCTCCACACACCAACATACCCCTCCCCCCAGGGTAGTGCTGCTGACTGAAGCGTCTTTAGGCCACTCCCAAAGAGGATGTTAACATGTTCTTATGCACAGTAGAATTGTAAATTGGCTGATTTATCAATATCATGCTCACACTGTGCCAGAACAACATAGGGGGGAACTGCTGCTTTTTCTTTCATCCTTACTATTGTCATTTGTCCTCTACTTCGTTTGTATGTGTAGCAAAATGGTACACATGTGATACTCATGACGTTGTGGCACCGATGTGCTTATTGCTGTTGGGGAAGGAACGGACGATAAGGCGTGACCATTGGCGATCGCATCCCTACAGGGGGATAATCATCTTGCGCCATGTCCCACGCTAAAGTGAGATGATGTTGTGGCACTGATGTGCTTATTGCTTTTGGGGAAGGAACGGACGGCAAGGCGTGACCACTGGTGATCGCATTCCTACAGGGGGATAATCATCTTACGCCATGTCCAACGCTAACATGAGAAACCGTGACTCCTGGCATAGTGGGAATGTTTGTCTTGGAGAGGGGCTGGACTATAACTACTATGAGCACTAAAAACCTCGGCAGTCTTGGTTTGATCCACACGGGAACCAGTCGTGTTCCTTATACTCCAGTCCTTAGTGTAGGACCCGTGTTAGACTGAGCAATGTCTTGCTCTAGTCTGTGCCTGCTTGGCAACCGTTTTGCTTGTGTGAAGTGTTAGACGGTGCAATGTCTTGCTCCTGTCTGTGCCTACTTGGCAACCGTTTTGCTTGTGTGAAGTGTTAGACGGTGCAATGTCTTGCTCCTGTCTGTGCCTACTCGGCACCAGTTTCGTCTGTCCTCCTGTGAAGACCACAGACTGTACTTTGAATTGTAAACCCAGTGTATACTTTTACCTGTAAACCCAGTGTGTACTTTGAATTGTAATCCCAGTGTGAACTTTGAATTGTAATCCCAGTGTGAACTTTGAATTGTAATCCCAGTGTGAACTTTGAATTGTAATCCCAGTGTGAACTTTGAATTGTAATCCCAGTGTGAACTTTGAATTGTAATCCCAGTGTGAACTTTGAATTGTAATCCCAGTGTGAACTTTGAATTGTAATCCCAGTGTGAACTTTGAATTGTAATCCCAGTGTGAACTTTGAATTGTAATCCCAGTGTGTACTTTGGAATTGTAATCCCCGTGTGTACCTTGAACTTTAAACCCAGTGACCTCCAGACAAATGAACAATACAGTGAATCCTGACCTGTGCAAGTACTGTTATTAAAAGAAGATCTACTATGCCATTCTACTGTTGGAACCTACTGTGTGTGTGTGTCACAGCTCAGAAACATTGCAGAGTGCATGTTAATTTTCCTTGTGTTAACTGAAAGCAGAGTCAGTCTTACTTAGTTTAAGGTAAGGGTACCCTACCAATTACTAGGCCTACAACGGGTTTTAGTTACCATAGCAACTTGATTTAATATTGGTAGCATTCGAAATACTGTTTTTGTTACTGCTTCTTTCCACAGGCGATCACTGTCTTGAATATATGCATGCTATATAATCTGTAGTCGAGAGTGTCTGTATTTATTTCTTGTCCAGCTATGTAACTGCTGAAAGTTAACGCCTATACTCAGTCCCATTCTTCCTCGTATAACCTTTTTTTTCTATTAGTCAGAACTCCCACCCCACGAGTCCTAATAAGTTCTTCATTTCTAATTAAAACTGTACCTTCTATTCGTTTAGTTGGTACCTTGTTGTACTTGTAAGACCTGTGTGCATATTGGTCTTCCCTAAGGTTACAAACTAGTGATTCAAACAAAGGTTTGAACAGCTTCTTTGTGACAGTATGTTTGTCACTCTCTTGTAAACTTGCTATTCCTGGGGGGGGGCTGCTCGATAGTCGAAGCAGACTTAGGCTTTACTGCGCTCGCAAATGCATAAGGTCATGTGAGCGCCTGAAGACTAGAGGAGTTACAAGAGAGTAACAAATATAAAAAAGAAGGAGGGGAGATAAGGAAGATAGATGTTCGATAGGAAAGAAGAGGCAAACCACACCAGAGCACCCGCCAACCACTCCCTGAAGCAGACTTTCTGCTGTTGAGGCTGAAGAGGTGAGCAGAGTAAGCCTGATTGAGATTCCCCGTTTTGGACTTCTGTTGACATCCACCCCTTGGCGATCACATGACCTTATGCAGTTGCGAGCACCGTAAAACCTTCCTAAAACAACAAAACCAACGTACCCTGATCAAAGCGATGTCGCTGTGGGAACACAAGCACATAGCACTGGCCGCCGTCAACAGTTCTGTTGTGGAGAAAAAAAATCAAGCTGCCATGAAAAAAGAGACAGGAAAAAATTTGGCAAGCAAAGCCAGACCCTGGCTCTCCTTCCCCTTGACATATGATAAGTAAATTCAGCTACCTACTGCCTCGTTCTTTGTTCTGCTTTGGTTAGTTTTATAGCACTTGCAACAAAAATGAGTCATATAAGTGTGGAAGATAAGTGTTACTAGTTACTAGAAAGTAACATAAAGGAAAAGTAGGAAAGATAAGGACAGCAGACCTTTGAGATAGGAAAGACAGAGTCTTTCTTGTGTGTGAGCGTGTGCCTGTGTGTACATGTGTGTGTGTGTGTGAGAGAGAGAGAGAGAGAG